GACTCTTACTGGGATTCTCCAATTACCAATCTAGTACTGTGCTCAGTAGAGAAAAGAGAACATATAAAAAATTCTACAAAAATAATCCCCAAATACTCTTTCCTGACAGAAACTTTAGAATACTGAGAAAGCATTTAAAATTTGTGGGTTCTTAGCTCCACTACCCAGTACTGCTGAATCACAAATTGGTGGTAGAAATTGCATTTCAAGCTATGGGCAACAATATTGTATGCCACTACATTTCTGGAATTACTATGAACATAGAGTGAAAGATACAGATTCTCAGCTCAAAAAAATGTAAGATTAATGTCAAGATAAAACACATTGAATATTTTCTTTTCTATGTCAAAAATCCCCAAGTTTTTCTTGGAAACAAGGATCGGAAACTCATTCATGCAAAGCAGAAACTCCCAGAAAATATGTTACAAAAAATATGAAATTATTAGTGTGGAGTGGGAATGGTATATTGAAGTTATCCTCACCTAGGGAGACCAGATTTGTGTAGTTCTCTAACATCACTTCCCTATACAAATTCTGCTGAGCAGGGTCCAGGCATTCCCACTCCTCCAGAGAGAATTCTATGGCCACATTCCTGAATGTCAACAGTCCCTGGAAAAAAAACCGGATACTTACCAAGAAGCCATGGGGAGACATAATTTCACTCCTGGTGAAATGAGAGAGTAAAGAGAACTGTTTCTGACTTATACGAGTCACTGGAATTATCCAATAAGATAATCTTAACAAAAAAGTATTTCCTAATGTGTTCTCTAACTCTGTGGAAAGAGGACAGTATAACATCCACAAAAACAGTGCAGATACTATATTTTTTAGATAATGCAGTATAAAAGTAAGGCCTCCCAAACAGCCATGAACATTTTTGAGTGCTTTGTTTACATCATACATGATTAAGTTGGGTATAGTTCTCTGATGGAAAAGTCATGGTGGGTTAGAAGGTACCTCTCAAATTTTAATGTGTATGACAATGAACTGAAGATCTGGTTAAAATGCAGATGTTGATTCAGAACACATGGGGTGAAGCCTGAATCTCTAGCAAGTTCATGAGTGATGCCAATGCTTCTGGCCCATGAGATTATTTTGGCAAACACCCACCAAGTGGTAGAGCCTGGGTTTATCCCAGTTTGTCTGACCGGTAAATAAAGATGAGAGCCTTCCTTTTCCAAAGCAAGCTATATGAAAGAGAATCTAAGAACAAAGGGGAAATTCCAGATTCAATGTGATGGTTTACACACATCTTCCCAAGGTATGTATTAATGGAGAAAAATAATTAACTCCATAGTGGAAAAATCTGTTAAAGAGCACCTTAACTAAGTGCATAAAATTAACAACTATAGTAGAACAAATTGGTATCAGGTGCTGATTCACCTGATAGGTGGACACAACATCATTGCTGTAATGATGGTGGCCAAAAAAAGTAAATCATAATTTGAATCTAATCATGAAGAAACATCAATTTCATGCAAACCTCAAACTATACATTTCTCCCATGTTTTATAATCTCTAATAGTGTATGTAAAGTCTTTTGTTATGATCCTAGAAAGCAAGTCTTATCTAATTATTCTTTTTTAAAACTCTGAATTATTCTAGGCAATTAATGGCATCCCTTTAATAGTGCATTTACTTCATTCTGTTATGCATTGAGCTGAGGGAGCATCCACATGGAACCTAAACAGTTTTATGTTCCCCTTCTTCACTGATAGTCAAGGACCTGACCCTATCCCAAATAAGAATCTGAGGCATCCACATGATCCCATGTTTGACAACCAGAAATGGAACATTGTCAATATTTCAGCTCATAAACTTATTGAGAAGTGTTCATGGCATATAAGAGGTCTGGATGGAGAGAATGAATACAAAGCTCTGCTACACAGGGAAGATTTTTCAGAGCACCTTGACCATTATAAGAAAAAAGGACAAAAGAATAGGGGAAACAAACTCATTAGGCAAGAACATCACAAAAGAAATAAAAGTTTTCATTCTAAACACGTGACATTTCAGGATGAAAAATGAACATGGTTCTAGACCTGGGACTTATGTACATAAGAACCAGCCATTTCTTCCTCTTCCTTCTCTGTAATTTTTTCTCAGGTGAGAGTATCTGGACGAATCACATCTGCATTTTGATAATGTGTCATCAAGGCATTACCACAGCCCCTTCATCTGCTACCTCTACATCCACAGACAGAGGGACCTTGAAGTGCAAAACAAACCCACTCTTCACTGTGCTTCATCACAGAGTCATGAACATTGAGCTTCTACATGGAGACCAATTAGTGATTTCTCTCCCTTCCTTCCCACAGGTGCCCTCCTCTACCACAGACAGCAGCAATATCCTCTACAGCAATGGGCACGTGGGCTGGGCTATGCTGACCTGAACCCCACAAACCCATGCAGAGAAGACTCTGTGAGGTCCCCCTGGAACAAAGGCTGAACTCAACTTTCATAAATATATCTGGGGGCCCTTGTGCTTGACCCTGGACTCACTTTAGCATCATGTGTAGGGCACTTAATTAAAACCACGTAGATGCTCCAACCGAAACAAATAGAATCTGTAGGGAAAGCACAGATGATGGTGTTTCTTTAAACTCACCATGGGATCCTAATTGGAAACTGGGACTGAAAAACACTTAGCAAAGCACTGCCTCTCAGGCTTTACTGTGCATATAAACCATTTGTTATTCCAGGCCACACTAAGTCATACGATTCTGGGATTACAGGTGTGAGTCACCACCCCTAGACTTCTTTGTACATTTCATAACATACAATAATAAGCAGTTTAACCAAAACACTTAAGGTTTTCTAGAATTATATTAGAAGCTAAATATTTATTCTTAACAAGGTAAAAGCAATAAAGACAAACAGCAACAACTTTTGTGTTCATAAATGGCCTTCATGGGATGACATCAGAACTCACAACATATGGAAAGTGACCCAAATGAGGCAAAATTCCAAACAACTTCCTTGTCTTGACTACGTGATGCTGAATTCAACCATTTAACCATTTGCTCCAGACTGGACAGGAGGAACCATACCTGCTTTACTTGTTTCTCTAATGCTCGTATAAAATGGAAAGAATTGATTGATCTATCAGTTTGTGTCTCAAGACCTCCTCCTTGTTTATCACTGAAGTACCAGGAAACGGGAGCAACTCCAATCTGGACACCAACAAGGGAAATTCTTTCTATGCAAGGAGGAACAAACCCTGGATGACTTATTCCTCTTCCTCTGAAATAGTAGGAGAATTACATGCTGTCATCCTGACCCCAGCATGGAAGGACAACCCCAAATGTCTGCAAGCCACCCACATGCTGGTGAGAGGATCCCCAGTGAACTTGGGCTGATGTTCCCATGGTGATCCAGGCAGGAGAGAATCAGTCTGACTCTGGGAGGTCAGCAGAGAAAATGGAAATGCCCTGATAGGGCAGCGGATCCTGGATCCAGGTGTGAGATAACCTACGAGGAAGGAGAACACCCTACTCCAGTAATAGTGCACAGGAAGCTGTAGTTGTGATCATGGCTTTGACTATTTTGTGGCCCTGGCCTCCCACAGCTGAGGCACTTGTTAATACTTACAGATTTCGCCACTAGATTCTATTTACAACAGGAACCCTTCAGACAACTCTAAGAATTCACTGGGCAATATCTGGAAAACTTGAAAGGCCCCATTTAGTAAAAGCTGGCTTCATGAAGTCTATATTGATTTCTTACAATGCAGAAAATGTTTCCCCTCAGATTTTCTGTATAAACTCAATCCCAAGACTGGCCCCATCTCATGAATCCCACGTAGAGGCCAGCCTTATGTGCAGATTACATGTGCAATCAAACTGGCTCTGTATTCCTGGGGCTTACAGAAGGAAGGGAAACTGGAAGCTGCTCGTGGAAGCTGCTCTGTCACATCCTGATGATCATGAGGACCTGGATTCAGAATTTGCAGCTACACACTTAGGTCTTGGAGAAACAGGGAAGCAGCTGGCACCCTCTACGTATTCACGAGTATTTGGGAAAGAGGAGGAGAGAGAGTTAAGATTCTCAGGCCTACTCAACGCACATGTGTCTACCTGGCTGGGTTTGCAAGGCCAACAGTCTCTGGATAAATTTCAGATCTGAAATGCCAGGGTCATGGACAAACAGTTGGAAGGGATGATTGCTATCTTGTAACATTAGTTTTGTAGAAATCTGGTCAAACTGCTCAGACAGGAGATTGCAAATAGGCAGAGAGACCATTCTACATGTAGATATTGGAGGCAGCATGCACTTTGTTGTACAATTGTGGGTTATTACTGGAAGGTGAAGAAGGAAAGAGCTCTTTAGAGTGAAGCCTGGTGAGCACTTTATATTTTTGTACCATGCCTGGTAATTCTGAAAAGTGTTTGGAAAATATAATTAAAACCAAAATTGTTTTCAAGCACAGAATAACTCTCCACAATGGTGAAACAGAAAGAAAACTTTTATTATACAATTATACCAGAATGTCATGTACATCTTGGCCAATCTGGTAAGAGATTGCAAAGACATAAAGTCAACATAATTAGTGCTCAAGTAGATTCGTAAGCATCATTTCAAATGTAGTTCACCCTAAATTCACTCAGTAATTGGAAAGGCCATCCATGTTTACTAATTGGCTATATTCAAAGGAAAAAGAAAACCTTTTTCATATCTTCATGCCAGATGACAACTTTTCAACTTGGAGCTAGGTGCCTACTAGTGGGAGGTTTCTACTCTCTAAAAGAAACTGTGGGATACATGCAGATTTTTTGACTATTTACATTTCAAAGCAATGGTTCCTAGATTTTAAAGAAAGAAAATCCTGAGTTAAAAAAAATTAGAAAAGACCTGTTAGCTCTTAAAATAATTTACATGTATTTCAAAGTGGCAGAGAAAAAAGTACACACAAAATTAAAAACTTTAAGAAAAGAGAAGAGGCCGGGCCCGGTGGCTCACACCTGTAATCCTAGCTTTCTGGGAGGCCGAGGCGGGTGGATTGTTTGAGCTTAGGAGTTCGAAACCAGCCTGAGCAAGAACAAGACCTCGTCTCTACTAAAATTAGAAAGAAATTAATTGGACAACTAAAAATATATAGAAAACATTAACCGGGTATGGTGGCACATGCCTGTAGTCCCAGCTACTTGGGAGGCTGAGGCAGGAAGATCGCTTGAGCCCAGGCATTTGAGGTTGCTGTGAGCTAGGATGACACCACAGCATTCTAGCCCAGGCAACACAGTGAGACTCTGTCTCAAAAAAAAAAAAAAAAAGAAAGAAAAGAGAAGACAGTATAATCTCATGTTTCTCTTTTTTTTTTTTTTGAAAATTATCGTGTTCTTTTTTTTTTTTTTCAGCATATTATGGGGGTACAGATGTTTAGGTTATGTATGTTGCCCTTGCCCCTCCCGAAGGCTGAGTTTCAAATATGTCCATCCTTCAGGTGGTGCTCATTGAACTCTTTGTGTATGCAAATACCCGTCCCTTCCTCTCTCCTCCCCCTCCCCCTCCCCCCTGCCCAACATCCAATAGATGTTATTCTTATATGTGCATTTATGTGTTGATCAGTTAATACCAGTTTGATGGTGAGTACATGTGGTGCTTGTCT